GGCGCTCGCCTGCGAGCCCCAACGACGTCCCCGGTGACGTCAATCCGGGCGACGTGAACCTCTTTGATTTATTTATTTTCTTCATCAAGGTTGGGGTTTGAACCACTATTTGTCTGATTCGTCGCCTAGGACCTGTTTGCCTTGGGAGACCCTACCAGGGGCGTTAAGCGAGATTAATTTTAATTGCAATATTTTCTTTGTTTGGGCACCAGTAAGGAAAATGCGTTCATTTGTAATTTTATTTCATTTGTTCAGTTTATATAATTACAGTTTTGTAGGAATAACAATGTTTTAATTATTTAGAAAATAAACTGTACTTCCTGAAGTCACCTTAGATGTGAGTGGGTGAGCTATGCATGTGGCTCTGTGATGGACTGGCTAACTGTCCAGACTGTACTCTGTCCTGGCTACAGTGACTGCTGGGCTCAAATCCTTCCAAAAAAAGTTCTATAGAGTAGAGGATGAATTAGGATGAATGAATGAACCTCCATTTTCCAAAAGGGATGAAACAGTACTTTGCTTTACATAATACATAATAAATGTCCATTGCAAGAAGAATAGAAAAAGTTGAGGACACTTCGACTTTAAAAGACTGTACATTAACACTAAGGGTATCACAAGCCTCTATTACACAATTTATATGTCTATCATACTGAATGAGACCCATTATCCACTTGGCAGGAACTGGCGTTCTGCATGAGCACTTGCTGTGCTGTTGAAATTTAAACCTGTGACACTCAACGTGCAGATGGCTGTTCGCTCAAACCCTTCAACAACACAGCTCCCCAACATCAAGAGCAAGTGCTGTGGAATTGCGAACAGATGACTCAGAGGAGGCATGTAAAATCGTGGGCCTAAACTATTTCTTATTTCATCAATGTCCAAAAAGTTGATGGTTGTTTAATAGAGTTGGTCATGATCGTCCCTCTGGGTGGTGCATTGATCATCTCGGTAATAACAAGTCCACATCCCACGGTTGACGTGGCCGTTGATTGTCACATAAGATGCTTTCAGACTCAGCCGAGACACTTTTGAAAAGACGGGGAAGTGAAAATTGAAATAGAAACTGTATCTTTTGTCTGTTTTGTCTCTTAGAGCCAAAGAGGCTGATCAGCTGAAGCAAGACCTGCAAGAAGCCAGGGACTCAGAACGGAGGGCTAAGCACAAGCTTCTGGAGATCACCAGCCGGGCTGTCTATGCGGTAACAGTCACATCGATTTTTAAATGAACAGTGAAAGGCATTTAGGTCCGGAGCTGACTAAGATTTTAGGAAAAAAACATGTATATATACAAAGTTAAAAACAGTTTAAGGGTGAAAAGAAAAATGACAGATAGTTTAAGTCCAAACACTTTTGGAGAATTCCTATCTTTGAAACAGGACACAACTTGTTTCTTGTCCAATGACTGAAATCTAGTTCTATTCAAATGTTCTTTCATTTGTGCGAAATACAAAATATCAGCTGGAGTTCGAGCAAAATGTGTTGCAAAGCAATCTGATGTTAGTTCAGATTTTATTTTAACATCACACAACTCAACGCTTGACAAAGCTGTCACGGTAAAAGTTGGAGACAGTTGTTTCAGTTATTAAGATGTTGGACATCTTTGGACATAAGTACGTCTGTAATACAAGTTATGTACAAGTGATCATCTGAGTTATGCGTTCATTTAATTAGTTTATCATTGTTTTTGTTCATCAAATAACTGACTGTTGAATCTGAATGTATTTAATATACAATATTGTATTTCGCAGTATAAGATGTCTGTCAGTAGTACTACTATATTACGCTGATGATTGATCATTGATTTAAATGACCTCATTTATTGTTCTATTCAGTCTGATCCTCTAAAACTGGCCATTAATTACATAATAAATTAAATTTACTACATATGTTTTAGTATGTGCAGAGTAACATGTTAATGTGCAGTATTTTATTCAGTAAACATTTTTATTAAAAGACTATATTTTGTATGCAAGAAATTTAACAAAAGTTTATAAGCTGATAATAGAGTTGTAGTTTTAGGTCAAAGGTTAAATAAATTAAATTAAAAACAGCTTCAAAATGCTGCATATATCCACTAACAAACATACTCAATTAGCTATACACACACAAACACATACACATATATATACTAGAGTGTATATGTTACATTGTCAATATACTAAAATATATTGGCTGAGACCTTTGATGAAATGTCTTCACCAATAAAAATACTACAAACAATGTCATGTAAACATCATGTAAGGTATTATATAATACTGTCTGTACTGTAGGCGTGATTTAACACACACACAGCAGAAAACTCACAGTGATGTACGACCTCTCTCTGTCAGACTGTAAATGAAAAACATTTACGGTACAAAACACTCATAAACACACACACAGTAAATCCTATACATACAAAAGACGCGGTGGCAGTGGAAAAGCACAGCAGCCTTATCAGCTCCAACGTTAACATACTCATATCGCAACATCCACCACTCACGTTCTCATCAGCCCGCAGTTTCCCTCCATGTACCCTGCGTGTCAAGTGAGAAGTTTGGCTGCATGTAGTGAGAAATAGTTTTACATTTATAGTGGATATGAGGTCTGCATCTCATTCAGGTGGAAAGATGGTTCCGGTTGTTGTGGTGCTGGTATTTGAAAAACAGAATTTACACATAGTATGTCACTCTGATAGTGGAATGTTCTATTTTTGATTTATCTATAAATTTGAGAGTAGTATTTTTTTGTATAATTTCTTAGAGCACTATTAATATTTCACCATTACCAAATGTACATACTTAACATAATTGTTTGTACTTCATATCTTTTTAGCGACAAGGGGAGAAATGGAGAAGAAAGCAATTGTGGGAATGTGTTAGAAAGACAGTAGCAAAATATAGTTAAATAACCAGAACAGAGGCCAGAAGTAGATGAGAAGGCTGATCTCTAGAAGTCAAAAAAATCATTGTGCCGTGTAATTTATCTCGGATAGTTTTTAACATCTAAATGTCTGATTTAAATGTATATACAAAACACAGCTCAAGACAAATGTTAGACGATAGTAGTAATGTTTTGGTTTAAATCTCTCCGTCTGCTCCGTCCCAGACCCCTGGGCTCCCGTCCGACAATATGCCTCCGGACCTGAGTTTCAGCAGAGAGAACCTGAGCTTCGACTTTAAAGACACCGACATGAAACGCCTCTCCATGGAGATAGAAAAAGAGAAGTGAGTGACTCCACTCCACCTCACTGATATTTCTGACAAATTGAACCGTGTTCAGGGTCAGATTTCCAGTTTATACAGTTGCTGATGTAATTATGTGTAATCAGAGGGCAGCGATTAACTGATATTTTGTGTTGGATTAAAATATATCCATATTTTAATCCAACACTTCAGATGAGAAACTGACCTTCTGTATGAGATGGCAATGATGTTGTTGTCATCTTTCAAGGAATTAATTTCTCTTCCATCCAGGGTGTCAGTGGTTGCAGGCACGGAAATGTTTAAATAAGTACAACACCCTGCTCTTTGGAGTTGAGTAAATTACCTGGGTCTTTATTGTCACAAATTGAAGTAATTAGGTCAAAGTCCACAGACTGTGAAGCCATTATTGGTGATTGGTTGGTTGTATTGTGAAAAAGTGAAAAAAAGCTAGTTAATTGAAAAGTAACACAGTTCAATTCCCACCTCTCCTGTGGTACACACAAACGTGTGTATATATTTATGTGTATATATGTATATATATGTATATATGTGTTTATATATGTATATATATGTTTTTTATATATGTGTGTATGTGTGTATATATATATGTATTTAAACTGTGACTTACTTTCTTAGCACAAATGTCCTTTTAAATCCATACTTGACTTTCACCATCAGCTTTTAATTTTATTTCGATAATGTTTTCATCTCCCAAATTTTTAGCAGTGTCATCAGCATACATGGATCAAAAGACCAAATATGCTTTTTTTATTTCAATAATTAATGTTATGCAAACTTGATTATTTATATATATCATCACTATTTGATCTACTCTTTGTAAATACACACTCCAATATTAAAATAGAGTCGTTTAAAATTCATACTTTCTCATAAAAAGTGACGTAAACACTACAGCAGGCATATCCAAACGATTCCTCAAAGGGCCGGTGTCGCTGCTGGTTTTTGTTCCAGCCAACCAAGAGCACATAGTTTGACCAATCAGCTCTCTGATAAATGAGATCAGTTGATTAGACCTGTCAACTCAGGTGTGCTACTGCTTGGTTGAAACAAAAACAACATGCAGCCACAGCGGCCCTCTGTGGACAGCGGTTTGGCCGCTCCTGCACTACATTCCTGTGACAAAGTACAGATACAAAGCACATTAGTTTCAATTGTCAGGGATTTAGAAGGCCACTAAATCCTATTGTCTGTGGCCAATTTGTCTGTGTTCAGAGTGGAGTACATGGAGAAGAGCAAGCACCTGCAGGAGCAGCTGAACGAGCTGAAGACGGAGATTGAAAGTTTGAAGCTGAAAGAGAGAGAGACTCCTCTGGATATCATTCACAACCAGAACACTGAGCAGGGCACCAGCAAGCACAGCAACTTTAAAAAGGTAACTTGTCCTTTACTGCTCTACTCTACTCTACTCTTATTACCTATTTCTACTCTATTTTTAGTGCCTGCTAAACACTCTATAGTCAGGGTAGGATTTGAACCATATCTGGTTTTTATGCCCGAACTTGTCATTGCTAGAACCAAAACCATGAAAAAGTATTTTTAACATGCATGAACAATGCTACGTTGACAGTCATAACTGATGGCTGTTTCAGTGAGAAGCAGTTACATTTGAATAGCTGGCCGTCAGGATGATTTCTGTCGTTTTGTTGCAACCACTCTGTATGAACTATGGACAATATTGACACCAAAACACACCAAACCAAAAATTTGCATTCGATATGACAAAAACACTGACGTAGAGATATTTGCGTTACAACCGTAAGTCCCCTTTGACTTTATACCAGCTTCGCTGTCACTGCACCGCTGCATGCACTATGGTAATTGTTACTATACGGTCTAAAAGGCCCATCTTTGAGCAGGGACTGGAGGCAAACATTAAATCTGTACTTCCATTTAGTTACCAGAAACATTTAGTCCCAGTTCATGTGGACAAAATTTGGGATTTAAAAATGGGCTCACTAAATAAAGTCCTAGTGATGTTGGAAGCAAATTTTCATTGAAGTGAGCTGTGTTAGAAGTTGGATTTTTTTTTTTTTTTCATCAGTGTAGTGTGAGTGTTGCTCTACTGGTCGGGAGCTGTCAGTGCATCCAACATTATTGATTTACTTTCAGCAGCTTTAGAAAGGATTAAGTGTAAGCCTTATGAGAGGTTGTTATAAATACACAAAAAGTATTTAACACATTTGTCAGTAGAGCAGGCTTCACATTCTGTATATACAGTATATATTTTTTTTACATTTTATGTAAAGCAGCTGCAGCTCCCTGTCAGGAGGGGGCGGGTGGAAGGAGGGTGGAATATGACAAAAAAAGGCAGGTACAGCATTGCTTCTAGCTAGCTAACTTACACGAATACTGCAGTACTGGGTGGAATTAATCTGGAAAAAAACAAAAGACCTTGATAGAATATTTAAGTGGATTTATTTCAGCCAATCATTATCAACTATAATTGTGATTAATCACAATTAACTATGATTAACTATGATTACTTACAGTCACGTTTAATAATAATTAATGATGTTTTATTAGAATGACATGTAATGTTGATTGCGTTTAATTGCAATCAAGATTAATCACAACGAATTGTGATTAATCCACATTTTCCATGTTATTAATTGTTAATTATTATTTTAAGTGCATCATTCCACAGCCCTAGAATAAATTAATTTTTCTGGGGATTTATCTCTCTATTTATTTGCTTTTTGGAGTAAGGTCGACATTGTTAGACTTTAAAAAAAAAACTTTTGTTTGAAAGACTGTGGCACTCTGGCATTCATTCTTCGTGGTCACTGTGTTGTTTGGTAGATTTTGAAGTTGTCTGATTTTAATGACACAAACTTGTTCACTGTCTCAGTCGTCTCCCACATATATCCTTCGTAGGTTTTATTGTCTAGGTCAAGTCTGGTGTTGGATCATGTTTATTGAATTCATTTTTTTTTCTTTTTTTCTGTAACATTCAAACATTCAATTCGTAGCCATTTTTCTTTAAATATGAATAAAAATAACTTGAACACTTACCCAGTATTTGTCAAAAATAAATTCAAAAACAGAACCACAAGAAGAAGAAAAAATACTGGAATGCAATTTATTCATATTAGTTGATAGAAGTGAATCATTAGCTTAGATGCTGCAGTTATGAAACATATCAACAACAAAAAAAGGTACAATTATAAAATACTTCTATTGTGTCGTCTGACACACTTGGAGATTAGACGTGCTTCTCTTCTCTTTATTTATTTCATATAATGAATGCGGCCTTAACACGGGCAGGTGCTCCTGCTTCTCCATCAGGCCACATGTTCAGCTCTGTTAGCACTGTCAGGAGACTTCAGTCTCTACTGACTCCACACAAAACAAACCGCAGTGAAATAAAGGGCACGGAATTAAGGAGAAGAAACCTTGAAACTTGACTGTATCACTGACTCCTCTGGAGAATACAGTCTACCACTTGAGACTCGAGGGTTGGTGGTTGAGATCTCACTCTACAGGAAGATGCAATGATGCATGAATGGCTCAGTGGGTAAATAGTCTGGCCTGTGGGTTAATTAAGAATAAATGTGTATATATGTGTCTATATATGTATATATATTATATATGTGTATATATGTGTGTGTATTTATGTATATATGTATATGTATATATATATGTGTATATATGTATATATTTATATATGTATATGTATGTGTGTGTGTGGAGAGGGAATTCTTTTCCTGTCAATACAATTGTCTCTGACTTTTGTCCAGGTCCCCACTGTAATCTACAGTAGATGTCCCTTACTGTCCTCCTTCATCCCTCATACAATAATTACCTTGGCCAGCTCCTTAAATCGCTTTACACTGCAGATGTTAGTCCCTTCATTCTGTTGTACCATATAAGGCAATGGTTGGGTATACTACATATGGCATTCGCTTGGATTCAAACAAATTAATCTCCATGTTGTTAAAACCTCCAGGGAAGAAGTGTTAACAGTGTCTCTTCTGACTGGCATTGATTCTCTTACTGCTCTGCTCTCGCTGCCTGTCTGGTTATTCCTGCAGCCGTAGACTGTCTGTCTAGACTATTTATTTATTTTACTTATTTATTGTCTATCAAGGTGAACTCCAAACCTAAAAACTGTTGAATTTTCTCTCAGCCAATGTAAAAAAAAGGATCTTTGTGTCAACCAGTCAGCACATCTAAAAAAAAATAAAAAAAATAAAAAGGTCAACAGCACATGGCCA